CTCGACGATTCCAGGTCAAGCCTTACTCTTCTCCATGGTTTTCCTCACATTGTGCTGCTGCAATTGCCAATCGAAACCATTACTTCCATATCTATCAGCAAAACAATTCTCCAGAAAACAGACCTCTGTTTATTACTGCTAGGAACCATTGTAAAAAGGTTTTGTCTAACGCCAAAACCCGCTATTCTCAGATCATGAAATCTTGTATTTTATCACAAAAATTAGGCTCTCATGACTTCTGGAGAATCTTTAATAGTATCAATAATAAGGGCAAGTCTGTAATTCCACCTCTTTTGTACGGTTCAGACTTTGTCACCTCACCTAAAGACAAAGCTGAATTGCTTGCCAAGAACTTTTCATCAATATCATCTCTTGATGCCACTAGTTGCGTTTTACCTGATATACCCGTCAAACAGGTTGATCCATTGCTCGATATTCATATCACTCCAGCTTCTGCATCTAAAGTGATTTCCCGCTTAGACTCTTCTACAGCTTGCGGCCCGGACAACATACCTGTTATAGTCTTGCAGAAGTGTTCTCCTGAGCTGTCGTCTATCTTTTCAAAACTATTCAACAAGTGCTTATCAGAGTCTTGTTTTCCAGCCTGCTGGAAAGCAGCATCTGTTATCCCTATTTTTAAAAATTCTGGAGAGCGATCTGACTCATCTAACTACCGTCCCATTAGTCTCCTTCCTATCATAAGCAAGGTTTTTGAATCTTCAATTAACAAACACTTAATCTCTCATCTTGAATCTCATAACCTACTTTCTGATCATCAGTATGGATTTCGATCTTCTCGTAAACAGCTGATTTGCTATCAGTAATAACCGATAGGTTTTATCGCGCATTAGATAAAGGTGGAGAGGTTAAGGCCATTGCTTTTGACATTTCTAAAGCGTTTGATAAAGTTTGGCATGCTGGTCTCCTCCATAAGCTTTCTTCTTATGGTGTATCTGGAAACATCTTTAAGATTATTGAATCTTTTCTTTCCAATCGTAGTATAAAAGTTGTCCTTGATGGACAGCACTCTTCTTCTTATTCTGTAACCTCAGGGGTTCCCCAAGGTTCAATCCTTTGCCCTATACTCTTTTTAATTTACATTAACGATCTTTCAGATATTCTCACATCTAAGGTGGCATTGTTCGCTGATGATACTACCATTTATTCTTGTCACGATAGGAAGCCAACTCCCTCTGATTGCTTGCAGGGGGCATCTGAGCTTGAAAAAGATCTTACTTCTGCTATAGCATGGGGCTCACAGTGGCTGGTGAACTTTGATTCAGATAAAACTCAATTTTTTTCGGCCAATCGTTATCGCAATAATTTAGATCTTTCTATATTTATGAACGGTAATGTACTCGATGAGTCTCCTACCCTTCATCTTCTAGGATTAACTCTTACTTCTGATCTTTCTTGGAAATCTTATATCAAATCCGTTGCAAAATTAGCATCTGCTAAAGTTGCTTCTCTTTATCGAGCTCGTCACTTTCTTACTCTGGATTCTATTCTCTATCTCTATAAATCTCAAATCCGGCCTTGTATAGAATACTGTTGCCATATCTGGGGCGAATCTTCTAATGATGCCCTTTCTCTTTTAGACAAGGTGCAAAAACGCATTGTAAACATAGTTGGACCTGCTCTTGCAGCCAACCTTCAACCTCTGTCACATCGTCGTAATGTTGCTTCTCTTTCTCTTTTCTACAAATACTATAATGGGCACTGCTCTAAAGAGCTAGCGTCTCTTGTGCCATCTACTAAAATTTATTCTCGTGTTACTCGTCATTTAATTAAGTCTCATCCTTTTTCTGTTACCGTTCCTAAGTGCTCCAAAAACTCTTATTTGTCTAGTTTTTTTCCTCGAACATCAGTTCTTTGGAATTCGCTTTCTTCATCTTGCTTTCCTGATTCATATAATTTGCAATATTTTAAGTCGTCTGTCAATCGTTATCTTGCTCTACAATCTTTATCTTTTCTCTTCCAGTAACTTCCAACACTAATTAGTGGTTGCTTGCAACCTTGTTGGAAGCGAAAATAATTAAAAAAAAAATATGTATATATATATATATATATATATATATATATATATATATATATATATATATATATAAAATGTGTATTTAAATTGACTTATTTTGATCAAAGTTTTTTAGAACAAGTCGACATGCTAAACTTTTTATCTATTTTATCATTTGCCATAGCGTTAAATACTTAATTTTAATAACTGGATATTGTAAAAGTTATTGAAAAAATATTTGCTAATGTTTATTAAAAATTTTTGACCACGCTGCATTGCATTATTAATTTTGTCAAAATACAACAATAACAAAAAAATTTATAAACTTTAAATATATATACTTTTATAAATATTATTTTTATTTTACTCTATACTTTTAAAACGTTTAAAAATATAGACTCATCTAATTTTACACGTTTTAAAGTTTTAAGCGATTAAAAGTTTAAAACGTTTTCAAGTTAAAAATTTGCTCGATAGTCCTAAAAAAACAACTGCTCTGACAAAATTATTATTTATTTTATTTTTAAATTTTTAATTAGTCAATACATCATATAAAACAAAACTTTGATGATGTTTAACATTTGTTCTCAGTTAATATTTTAGGTGCTCGTTAACTTAAAGACTAACGTGCAATTATTTTTCATTGCATCCGCTGGTGGGAGGCAAATATTTCGAATTTAGCGGCCGCAGCCAGCTGGCAAGCAGAAGCTATTGGAGGTGGCATCCAAATGGTTTTGCCTCCAAAACTTCTTTTAGAGGCGGCCATCATTGGCCCTCGCCTCCTCAGGAAAAAAAGTTCTACAGAATTTTATAAAAACCTTTGAAACGCGTGGCCTATAAAAATTCTATAGAATTTCTATAGAGTTTCTGTTAAAATCTCCTATTGAATTTTATTTTTTACTTTTTTTTTATAGAAAAAAAAGGTTTATTGCAATATCTATAGATATTAATAGACATTCTATAGAAATTCTATAGAAATTCTATAGAAATTCTATAGAAATTCTAAAAGGTTTCTATAGGCCATATTTTTTAAAAGTTTATAAAAAAATTCTATAGAACTTCTTTTCTCTATTGGCGTCAGCAAATTAAATTTGTTGAAAATTATGAGGCCTGCAGGTCGTGATAATCTTTCCCCTCTGTTACTTAAAGATTGTGTAGAATGTGATGAATCATTACTAGTACCAACGCAACGGAAGGAACAAAAAATTATACCTGCTTACAAATCTTGCTAAACGTGTACACCAAAAAACTTCCGACAAATCTCAGTACTTCCTAATATTTCTAAAGTCTTAAAAGCATCAATACAATCCCAATCATTGTAACAGTTTATTGCTTAACGACTGACAGTTTGGATTTTGAACCCCGTCATTCAACACAGTTGGCTTTAAATGTTGAATTGACAATTTCGGGAAGAAGCTTGAGTGGCCGTGGCGCAGTGGTTAAAGCCCTTGTTTTATAAGCAGGAGATCCAGGTTCGAAACGAGCTCTGGACATATTTTCGTGTTACAGTAAGGAAGGAGGCGTGAACTTCCTGGTTAAATGCAATTTCGCGGTGCTCTGTGATAAAACCGTTAGGTCTTCTTAGGGCACCTTAAAAAAAAACATTATTAATGTTATTTAACATAAATCAGTTAAGTTACTCTAATTCCAACACTTTTCAAATATTCTTTCTCACTACATTTATTCCTATTAATTTAACTTTGTGATAATGCAATTAATTCTTTTTCTCATAAATTCCTTTGATAATTAAATTCTATACAAAAAATTCATTTCAAAACAAATGAAAAACTTTTTAAATTTATTTAAAAATAAGTAACACATATCTTAGAGCTAAAACGTCATGTCCAGTTTTCGAAAGCATGAGGGTTCAAATGCAGAAAAAAAGCTGTAGAAAAAGTTGTTAAAGAATACAAACGTACACTGGAAGAGTGCGGCTTCGGTAAAGATAAAAAAAAAAAGGCATCTAATAACTCTACGTCCGACCGAGTAGTCAAGGTATGAAAGAATGTAATAAAGCCTGCCAAGTGAAATTAGTGTGATCTGACTATTCATTTTAAATTGCATTTGTATTTTCGTTTTATCATATATAACCAAGTTTAAATAAAGAGTGTTTATGCCCATAGAAAGAACGCTTGCTTAATAGTACGAAAATGTCTAGATAAAGTTTTGCTCATTTTTTTTTAAATTATTTTATGGTTCATAATCATAAAAATAGAACTAGAAATTAATACTGTTTGCCCAAACTGCCTCGTGTGAGACTCGCAAAGAAAGGATTTTTTTATTTTGGTGTCAAACTCTATGATGATTAACTATATAAAATTAGAGCTTTTGAAAAATTTACTTACTTTAAAATCCTCATTGATAAACATTTTAAAAATTAATTTTATAATTTCACATTTATTTTTTTCATATAAGTTTTTCTATTTGTTTTTGTTTTTGTTCTTTATTAATAATCATTTTTAATATAAATTTGTAAATCTCAGAACACACATTGAAAGCAATTTTATTTTAAAAGTGTAACATTTATCTTGGCGAAATTTAATAATTCATTTAATAATAAATAAATAATGCATGCATTAGTGCATAGATGCAAAAATTCTCCTTATAACTTGCGTTGCTTAGACTCGTTTTTCCCTGATAAAACCGTTTTGCTTTTTTTTTAAAGTTCAAAGGTTAATCAAAGCATTTATTTTGCGCGATATATTTGTACATTCCAATTACTTAAAGAAAATGTGAGAACAAGTTGATACTAATGAATATTAAGAAAGAAAAATAATTTTTATATTTAATAATTAAAATATATATTTATACATGAAGTATTTACAATTAAAAAAAAACTTTTACACATTAAATATTTACAATATATCAATTATAATTAGCTTAAAATTGTTATAAAACTGTTTGATATTTGCTATCAAGATGCCTAATTTATTTGTTAACAAGATGTTTGCTTTGTTCGCTATTAAAATGTTGGGTTTGTTTCTTATTAGGATATTCAACAATTTAGAAAACGTCTTTTATTTCCTATTTTCTATGGGAATAATGAAAGAAATACGGGATTCTAAGACGCTCAATTTCGAATCCACTTTTTATCACACGATCAACAAAATCCCAATCTTCTCCTCCGCGCTTATCTTGAAGAAAATTTTCATCATCCATTCCTAAAATAAAATTTAAAAAGTTTAAATAATTGAAATATTATAAATGTTAAAAATTGTTAAAACATAACATAAATTTATAATAATATAACATAAAAATACAAAAAAGTTTTTGTTTGTAGGTAGAGGAGACTGGAAATTGTTGGCAGCAGTATTTAGTTTTTTTTTCACTGTAAACTTTTAGATACTGTATTAAAAAAAACATTTATCTCAAAAAGAACCTTCGAAAAATAAAGTGAACAATATTTAAGACTTATATTCCATTCAGTTTATTTGTTGCTAATTTACAAAACTTAGTAGAATAAAGTAAACAAGTTTTTTATAACTTTAACGTGCGTTTGCTGATGGCTCAAATAGCTAGTTAATTAGGAAGGTTACAGATTAGGAAAGTATACGTTTATATAATTTAGTTAGAAAGGTTTTTATGAATTTTAGGAATATCTGATGAAAAATATAATTGTAAAGGCAATGTTTTAACTTACCTTTTGCAGCCAACTAGACTTGGTCTCCCCTATAAAAGTACACATTATCCTATATTTTTAAACATTAACGCTAATATTTAGCATACCACCGGTTTTGTCCCAGTCACTTTTATAAATTCCAAAAATTGTATATCCAAAAATATCCCAAAATCCGCCTGGATTATAAGAATATCTACCACAAGCCAATCTCATTAACGGTGGAGAGAAAGCCATTTTACCTTGAATGCAGTGCTAAAGAAATATTTAATTAATTACTGATAACTATCATAGTTATTCTTTTTTAAAAGAAAGTATGATATTATTGATATTTATATGATATTATTGTTATTATCTTATATAATATTATTTTTATTTAAAAAAGTGTATACAGAATTTTTTCTTTATTTTATTTTATTTTTTTATTTATTTATTTTTTTTTCTCTGTTTACATTACATAAGAATTTTACAGATTCTACTACATAATATAAAATTTAACAAAATAAGTAAAACAGATAGGGACTCAAAGAAGATGAGGATGACAGAACGTCATCGCAATCTTTTCATAGAACCCCTTTAACAAGATTTAATTAAAATATCGTAATATGACATACAAACTAAAAATGTCAATAAAATATCATAACAAAATGCGTAATCCGCTAATAAAAACAGTCAAGCAACAAACAAAAGCAGAAACAAAACAAAAACTTATTTAAGAGAATTTATCCAAAGTCGTCGTGTGTAGAATTATATTTTAGAAGATGAAAGTTGATGTTTAATGATGAACCGTGATGATGAATACTGATAATAGGTATTAACTTGTATCCTTATTTATAAAATATTATTATAGCTAATTCTAAAAAAAAGTTCGCACCATAACACCCGGCGATATCGTAGGCGTCATATTTTACCAAAAATATTTTTCTGCCAAAGTATATCATAATGGGCTTTAAAAGAAGTGAAACTTTATAAAGATTTCATTTAAAAAAATTTAAACGTGCAATCTATTTATATTTTAACCAAAATATTTTTAAAAGACGTCTTTTAAAATTAAAATTACAAAATCAAATTTTAAAAAACTTCTTAAAAAGTGTCTTTTTTTAAACTTTTTATAAAATTACGCTACTATTGAGATTCTACTTATACCTTTGGAGAGAAATATTTTTTAGTAACACCATGTTGTCAGGTATCTTGATGCGGGAACTTTTTTATGAATTAAAAAAATAAATGTGATTTTTTTAATCAGTATTAAAATGATCATTTATTCCTACTACAGGCCAAAAAATTATCTTTTGTCATTACTCTATATATAAGAATACATACATTGAAGTAAATAGCACTGCGAAATATTTGCACTTTAGAAAATTTAAATTTAAATAAAAATTTAAATCCTGTATTTTACCTTTCTTGAATTATCAATGAAATTGATGGGAAATTCTATATGTAAATCTGTTTGCAATGCAATACTGTCTGCTTCTTTTATACTATTTATTGCACGTTGAATAGCTAATGTTTTATAAAACTTTCCATTTAGCGTAATAACCTAAAAAATGTATTCAAATACTACAAATAATCACCCATATATATATATATATATATATATATATATATATATATATATATATATTTTTTTTTTAATTTTACTTCACCTCCTCAAGGCCGAGAAGGCCACTACAGACGAGGAGGCTACTTATTTTGTGGCTATAACCCTCTCTCAACTCTATAACTCCGAAACACGAACCTTGACGAACAAGGCCGATGCGCGGAGAAACGAGTTGAGCGCGGTACTACCAGGGACGTGGTGGGGATCGAACTTGGAACCACTCGTTTATGAAGCGAGCGCTCTACCACTACACCACTACCGCATATATATATATATATATATATATATATATATATATATATATATATATATATATATATATATATATATATATATATATATATATATATATATATATATATATATATATATATATATATATATATATATATATATATATATATGTTTAAAATTTGATGATGAAATCTAAATAAACAAAAATAAAAATTATGCAACGAAAAAAAATTTAAAATTCATTCAACAGCAATGATTTTTGTGTATGACCAGTGGCGCACACAGAGGGTCTATGGTTTAGACCCAACCCTTTTTTTTTCTGACTTAATGTGCGTCATAATAACATCAACATTAAGATTCATTTATACAAATCACACCATCAGTTTGTGTCTGATCAGCTTCAGACAGTGTTAGTTACTCAATTTTTGCTCTGACTGAAAACGACAAAGCAAAAAGATTGAATGGTTTTCAGGACCACTCTTCTCCTTCATAAAAAAATTTTGTCCCTTTTCCTAGAAAAATTTTCTGTTTGCGCCACTGTTATAGATTATACCTGCCAGTGAGGAAGTATACTTTTTGCAAGTAATTCTGTCACGTTTACGTCATAACTTTCAAAATCAACTATAATCAGATTAAGCTTTTCATCTTTTGTTTTTGAATAGAGGTTTGATAGAGATTCAATGTAGTGTTGAACCCATGCTCCTTGATTTTTAACTAAGGTTTAAAAAGCAACACCCATATATATGTATATATATATATATATATATATATATATATATATATATATATATATATATATATATATATATATATATATATATATATATATATATATATATATATATATATATATATATATATATATATATATATATATATATATATATATATATATATATATTCGCATATAAATTAGTAAAAACACATTTCAAAATTTCAAAGTTTCACCTTCTGTAGAATCATCAGGAAGATTCTTTCTGATGAACCAACATTTTTATAATTTTATAAAAATTAAATAGATTCCTAGATTTATTAATTAATTTTTTTTTTTTTTTTATAATATTTTTGCCGTTTAATAAGTATTACAGTTTACAAAAATTTACAATTAAGTTAATGGCCGGAGCAAGAAGAAGACATTAATTTGCCTTATTACCGAGCACCGTGTTACAATTTATAATTTTTTACAAAGTTATTGAAGAATATATAGAATATAAGAAAAATTGAATAAATGTTTACAAGAATTCAAAAAATAAAATAAAATATCGTTTAATACATAATATCATAAAAAGACAAAATAAAAGTAAAAATTAATATTTATAAATTTATTCACACATTCGCACACTTACACATATAAGCGAACATATTCCCATATATATGAACACACACAAACACACATATATAAATACATATATATATATATATATATATATATATATATATATATATATATACACACACACACACATACGCACATACACATATACACATATACATATACACATACATATATATATATATATATATATATACATATATATATATATATATATATATATATATATATATATATATATATATATATATATATATATATATATATATATATATATATATATATATATATATATATATATATATATATATATACATATACACAGATATACGTACACATATATATATACATATACATATATATATATATATATATATATATATATATATATATATATATATATATATATATATATATATATATATATATATATATATACATACATATACACACATACACATACACACATAAATAAGTACAAATTTACACATACATAACTATAAATATATACACACAAAAAATAAAAACTGAGAAAATGTGATTTGTGATAATGGTTATTGTCAATAAATTTTTAACTTTTTTTTTTAAATGATTACAAGGAACAGTTATGTTGTTTTTATTTGTAACTGATATATCTGATCTATTTTAAAAGAAAGACTTATGTTTAATAAAAACTGTTTTGAATCAGTTTTGATGTAGAGATGCTTTTTTTTCGGAAACAATGTTTGGGAATCTTTTCCACAAAAGTGGTCCGCGATTCTGAATTGAATAAGAATTCTGTTTAGAATGAGATTTTGGAATAGCAAAGTGGTTTGCGTAAAATCTTGTAGCATATTTATGGTGTATTTCTTCAAAATAAGTTAAACATTAATGTTTAAAAGACGTTTAAAAGACATTTAAAATACATTTAGATCGTAACTTTTAAAAACAAATGCCCGTCGGGAAGGTATCGCTCTACCAACTCCAAATATGATTCTAACAGCATGTTTTTGTTTGCTATAAAGTTTTTTTAGCTTAATGTGGTTATTACTTGCCCATATGATGTTGCCATAAGTAAAGTAACTATGTATAAAAGAAAAATATAAATTTTTTAAGGACTTAAAACTTAAAATTGGCTTAACTCTATAGATCATTCCGATGTTTTTTGATATTTTTTTTTTTCTATAGAATTTATATGTATTTTCCATGATAAATTTTCATCAAAGTTCACACCTAAAAAAATTACAGATGTTTGTCTTTTAATGTTAGTTTTATTTATTAAGAGATTGGGCAGAATAAGCGGTATTTTTTTGTTTTGTTTAGTTTGAGAAAAAGAGAAAATTTAGTTTTTTGAAGATTCAAAGACAATTTGTTGCACTTAAACGATTCATTTACTTTATTTAGTTCTTCATTTACTACTGTAAAAAGTGTTTCAATATTTTTGTGAGAATAAAAAAGATTCGAGTCATCTACAAATAAAATAAAATTTAATAGGTTTGACGTTGAAGACAAATCATTTATGTATAGTAAGAAAAGTAAAGGTCCTAGTATAGAACCCTGTGGGACTCCGCAAGTTATAGTTTTTTTGGTCTTTTCTAAATTTTCAAATTGTACGTATTGTTTTCTGTTCGAAAGGTAATTTTCAAACCAAAGTAAGTTTGTCTCCTTTATTCCGTAATATTCCAGTTTTTTATTAAAATGGAATGATTTACCGTATCAAAAGCTTTGGACAGATCAATGAAAATACCTAGCGTAAAACAGTCTTCTTTAAACGCATTAGATAAGTGATTAACTAACTCTACTATTGCGTGATCTGTTAAATGTTGTTTTTTGAAACCAAATTGCTTACTATATAACATCTTGTTTTCAATTAATTGATTATACAGCCTATTGTACATTATGCGTTCAAGCAATTTCGAGAAACAAGACAAAACAGATATAGGTCTGTAATTAGAAGAGTCTGACTCATCTCCAGACTTAAATACTGGAGTCACTCTAGCAATTTTCATATTTTCCGGAACTTTACTTGATTTAAGTGACTGATTGAAGATATGAAACAAAGATGGTTCAATTATATCATAGACTAATTTTAATATATTAACGCTAACTTTATCCGATCCTGCACTTTTGTTACTTTTTAAGCTTAGTAATGCAGTCCGCAACTCACATATATCTAGCTTAGACTCATTCATTTTTTTATTAGAATTTGTTAGATAAGAATCAAATGTAAAAGAAGCTGGAGGAATACTTCGTGCTAAACTAGAGCTAACATTAATGAAAAAACTGTTAAATTTTTCAGCTATCAGTGCTTTATCATAAATTGATTCATCGTCAATTAAAAGTTTTTTTGCCAAAGCGTTATTTTTATATTTGTTTTGTCTAATTATTTCTATAATAGCATTCCAAGTTTGTTGAGTATTTCCATTTGCTTTTTCTAGCAATTTCGAATAATATAATTTTTAGAGTATTTTTTTGATATATAAGAATTGATATAATTGATTTTTGATATATAGGAACGTTTTATTTAGAAAATAGCATTTTTAGTTATTAGGAAAATACTAAAAATTTCTAATCTGATCTCGATATATATATATATATATATATATATATATATATATATATATATATATATATATATATATATATATATATATATATATATATATAATTATTATTATTATTATTATTATTATTATAAACGTATATATATTATTATAAACGTATCTATTTAAAAACCAAGTTCAGCTACAGCACTGGAAGTATATTAACTTCAATGATAACATTAACATTTTATGTTTTATTTTGAAAATAAATTTTTCAAAAATCTAATTAATAAATGGTAAGGCATTTAAATGACAATGCAATACGCAGCAAAAGGTTGTTGGACGGCAGTCGAGTGAAGTGCGAAAAAAATTCCAATTTAATACAAAACTATAAGAATGTTACAATACTCTGAAATTCTTATAAAATATTTTATCTGACTTAAGTATTTATATTTTAGCTATTTACTTACTTTCAGTTTTAGTTCATCATATCGGTTAAGGTTTTACCGCTTTTTTTATAACCTTATGGATCACCATGTCTAGTCAGCATAGGATGAGTTGTTTGCAAAAAGAAAGAAATTTGCGCTACTAAACATGAAGAAACCACATCGTTAAGAAAACATTTTAAGTTCCGTTATATCTACATTTTTTAAATGAGTAATTTTTATAAAGAGCTTCAACATTAAAGAAAATATTTGTATTTATTTGTTATAATAGTTAAATATTTTTTAATTTTTTAAATTTAACTAATTGATCGACGCGTTAACCAACTAAACTATTGCGGCATGATATACCATAATAAGAAATCTATAAATTATCTTTTATCTGGGTTGTTTTTTACATATATTTAAAGAAATCGGTGCTTGTATTTAAGGAAAAAAAAAGAAAAACTCCCCTTGTAACCCACGCTGCATTGGAGACTAAAATAAGTTATATAATATATGCAGATGTTCCTATTATATACCTGAGTAGACCAAACACGGATAGGTTGTATTAAGCCAAACACGGATAGGTTGTATCAATTTGTATCGTTTTTAAAACGTTTTTTTGCAAACGTTTTTTTTAATGTTAATTTAAACGTTTTTTTAGCGTTTTTTAAACGTTTTATTTTTTTTATTAACTAACGAAATTTCTCAGTTAGCTTATAAACGTTTTTAAAACGTTTTTTTAACGTGATAAAAAAAACTTTTTTTAAACGTACAGCACGGCAATATTTAAAAGAGTATGTTTACGCAAATAATGGCGTGACCTTCGATTAGGCGAACTAATTTATTTAAGTAAAAATTATATAAATTAGTATATATTTAAATCAACCAAGTGTTTTTATTCTTTTCTTGTAGAATTAAATTTGAAAATATATTGGAGTATTTTTAGTTTAAAGTTGTATGCCTTCGTTGAAACTAGGTTGTGTTTGAATCAAGTAGATATGATTAAGAAAGTTTTAATGGTGTGGTTAGCTAGATTATTTTACTCTATTAAATAACTTAATTGTTGAGTAAAATTGAATGCTTAAAAAAACTAGATTAAGTTTTTAATTCTACTTAATTATCAACTGCTTTTAACGCAAAAAAATTTATTTGGATTTGAGAAAAGGAAAAAAGAAAAAACAACATTCTCAGACTTTTTCTTCTTTAACTCTAAAAATTAAAAATAATAATATCAGTGGTTTTTATAAAGGAATTACTATAGTTAAAAAAGCTGAAAGGAAAAAAATATGATGATTTGTTTCAAGAAAGAAAGTGACTTACTTCAAAATGTCATTTTAAAATTTTTATTCTTTAATGATATTATGGTGTTATTACCAAATCTTTAGCAGTATGAAACCTATATTATTATATACCATACTATATACCCTATTT